CTTTTGATGGGGTACGTGAAGGACCCCAAAGATCTGAATGAATGCTATACAAAGTACCTTTTGTTCTATGAATCGCTGGAGATTTGAAGCTGACTCTTTTCTGCTCCCCGAACACACAATGTTTACAGAACTCTATATTTCCGGTACTTTGGCCACGTAATAGGCCTCTTTTGCTGAGGATGGAAAGACCTTTTTCACTCATATGCCCCAATCGCATATTCCACAATTTGGTAATGTCAGAATCTGATTTATCTGATATTGAAACTGCAACAGCACCTGTAACAGTAGATCCCAAAAGAGTATACAACGTACCAGATTTGCGTGCTTTCATGATCACAAGAGCACTATGAGAAATTTTCAGAACTCCACCTTCACTTGTGTACTTGCACCCAAGAGATTCTAGAGTGCCCAAATAGATGAGATTTTTCTTCAAGTCAGGAACATGTCTAACATCGGTGAGAGTTCTTACCACACCATCGTGCATTTTGATTCGGATTGTACCTTTTCCAATAACTTTGCAGGCAGCATTGTTGCTCATCAAGACAACTCCACCTCCAATAGATTCATATGTGATAAATAAATCCCGACTGGGACTCATATGATAAGAACAACCCGAATCTAAAATCCACTCATTGTTAGATTTGAAACTAGTATTAGTTGCTAAAAAAATAGTTCCCTCAGTCTCATCAACAGCTACACTTGCTTCGGCAGTGTTAATATTTTTGTGCTCATTTTTCTTTTCTGTATGCTTTTCTTTGTTTTTCAATTTAAAGCATTCAGAAATAATGTGACCTTTCTTATGATAATATTTGCACATGACATTTCTGTATCTAGATTTTGACCTTGATTTAGGTTTCTCACTACTTGAATCTTTCTTATTGGATCTACCTCTTATGAATAAGCCTTCCCCTTGGTTCCCACTAGATTCCCCAGTAATATCTCTATCTATTTGTTCTTTTGGTAAAGCCTGTTTTCTACTGTTCTTTTCATATATAGGATTTTAAGTTTTTCCCATATGCCTTTGGTTGAGCTTTCTGCTGCAACTTCACGCAAAACCTCATTTGAAAGATCTAAAATAATACCTGCTTTTGCCTTTTTGTCTATGACGGCAAACTTCTCGTCCGTCATTTTATCCGGCATTTCTCCTTTCCTTGTAGTGCCAAATCTAAGCCATCCTGAATTAGGATAGCTTCAATCTTTAATTGCCACATTCCGAAGTTTGCACTTCTGTCAAATTTCTCAACATAAGACTTTGTTTAGAGTCATTTTGGCTATTTAAATTAACCCGGTTAGATCTGGCTCTGATACCAATTTGTTAGGATCGGGTTACCGGGTAGTGCAGAATTTAGCCAAACAACGTTATAATGACAATAACAAAGACAATGCAAGTTGATAATAACGACAATTAAAGAAGATAAAGAAGACACAAATTTAACGTGGTTCGGTCAAGGTGACCTACGTCCACAAGCGGAGGAGCAATTTTACTATACCAATGAATTCATGAGTTTTGTCAAGTGAAATTGGTGACGAAAATGGAGAAGACATCAGTAATGGAGGAAACGGATAAGGGGGAAAGAAAAAGGAAAAAAAAAAGAGAAGAAAAGAAAAAAGAAGAAAGAGAAGAGAAAGGTAAAGAAAAAAAGTACTAATAAAAAGAAAATAGTATTTGTAATACACTTTAATACAATTAACGAAAGAGCTAATTAGTTTGGGTGGATTCCGTTTCGAAAAGGGCATATATGGGCCAACTGTGTAACTCTAAGGGCATATATGGACCAACTATGTGACGGTAAGGGCATATTTGAGCTAAAGTATTAACGAAGGGCAAATGTGCTCAATTTCGTTTAGTACAAGGGCATATTTGGACCTTTGCCCTTTTTTTATAATGGATATTATGTCATGGCAAATGTCATGAAAATTTGGCCATATTACACGCCTCATGTGATGTGTCATTGAACTTGCACTCCATGTACTCTGTTTTAGTCCTGCTCAACCTAACCTTTAGACTCTAGGGTGTGTCTCCAAACCTCCCGTCTATCGTTAATTCTGCAGCGTGTCTCATCAATCAATACTATGTAATCTGCAAATAACATACACCATGTTACCTCCCCTTGCATATGCTGTGTCAATTCATCACCACCAAGTCAAATAAAAACGGGCTAAGAGTTGATCCATGATGCAACCCCATTTCAACTGGGAAGTGCTCCGAGTCTCTTCCCACTGTTCCGAGTTCTGACTCGGATCTTGGTTCCATCATACTTGTCCTTAATCGCTCTAGTGTGCCACATGTACATCTCTTGACTCCAAGCATCTCCATAAAATCTCCTGGTACTTTGTCGTATGCCTTTTCTAAGCTACCATATGCAAGTCTCTTTTCCTATCCCTATACTGCTCTAACAATCTCCTTAAAAGAGCTAAAGATAGGGTACAATGGAAGAAAAAGATCCATAAAGGTGATACTTACTAGTTAGGAATAGGCTTTAAATTTGTTAAAGAACTTTTATTGTTATTACTATTTATTATATTATTATTATTCATATATATATATTTAACTTATTTTTACTACTATTATTTTATTTGGTATGATTATGATATGAGTTGAGCTTAAAGAAGTGGGGATTTATATCGTCGACCCTAATGTTTTTGGGGATTGAAGCGTAGTAGTTGTTGTTGGGTCGTTTGGTTCAAAATCAAAGTATGCAGGGATTGTAATGCAAAGATAATATAATGCAGGATTTAGTTTTGCAGAAATTGTCTTACTCGACAAAAATAAAAGTAATATAGAAGTTGTAATACATGGATTGTAATATAGGGAGTAGAAATGTAGGAATTGTAATGGATTGGTTATTCCTCATGATGTTTGGTTTGTTATATTAAGAGCCCGTTTGGACATAAAGATATTTTTCCCTTTTTTCCAAAAACAATTCACTTTCTTTCGAAATCAGCGTTTGTTCATAAAATTTTTAATTTTTACTTGAAGATGCATTTTGGAAATTTCCGAAAATTTGAAAAACTCCAAAAAGCTGTTTTTCAAAATTTTCATTCAAATCACTCACAAAACTTCTAAAACAACCCAAAATTATATTCATGTCCAAACACAACTACTCTAAATTTCAAATACCATTTTCCCTTGAAAAATATTTTCCTCCTATTTTGGAATTTTACAATTCTTATGTCCAAACGCCCACTAAAACTTACTAGTATACGAAATATAATTTAATATATTGCTTTAATTTTTACAATAAAATTTAGGTGTGTTTGCTATTATAGCCTTGAACTTCTTTATCTTTGTACATTTTAGTTTAAAAATCTTTGTCTACTCACTGAAACTATATTTATGAAATTTAACATTTTAATATCATAATGGATATAATATTTTATATCATGCAATGTGGAAGTCGATGACAACTATCTAAAGGAGGCATAATATCATAAAACCATGTACTACTAATTTCTAAAAGGAAATTTTTTAGTTGAGTAAATCTGTTGCTGTACTCTGGTTTTAGAATAACCTGAAATAAAAGAAAACCAAATTAGTCTTAGGCGTGTAACATTTAAAAGAAATATAGAAACAATCAAGAAATTTGCTCCTAGAGTTATTGAAGAAATCCAGACAAACTACACAAAGTATAGTGTGGCATGTTTTTTTAGGGAAAAGAAGATTAGTCTGAATGATATAAGGGCATTTTTGTCATTTTAGTTATTTTGATCCATATATTGCATAACTTATGCTGGTATTACTAAAGAGGAACAGTAAATTGTTAACCAAACTAAGTATTAGCAATGCTGAATTGTATGTGGATATTAAAGTCGGTGACTCGAACAATTTATGTTGAATTGTATGCTGAGATTAATTCTCCTTGTACACCCAACCAAACGGGCCCTTAAAATATTTGGTTTGTGTCCCTCAGAAGAGTGACTTGAGAGGGATCAAAAAGCAATGTCCTATTCGTTTCAAATAGGGTGAAAGTAGTGATCGTGATGTCTGTTATGACTCATGACTGGTGTCAATTCTTCAATGGCACGCTAGGTTGATTCTCTCGATCTATTATCATTGAATGTTGGACACGTCAGCAGTAGCATATATTCAGATTGCTAGCATTGCCATCGCAGACAAGGTTGATTCTGTCGACCTACTATCATTGAATGTAAGCTTGTTCCTGCACCCAAGGGTGTGACCTAGTGGTCAATGAAGTGGGTGCGAACCATGAGGTCTCCAAAAAGCACTAGGTGATTTCTTCCCATCTATCTAAGTCTTGGTGGATAGAGTTACCTGGTACCTGTTGCTGGTGGGAGGTTGTAGGTATCTCGTGGAATTAGTCGAGGTACGCGCAAGCTGGCCTGGACACCACGGTTGTCCAAAAAACAAATGTAAGCTTGTTCCTGCTAATGACACGTTTGAATGCTTGGCATTGGTGTGCTTGCACCCTCGATCATTGGTGGGATTCCAATAAACCACAGTATGATTGTGTTTTTCTGTTGATTGTATTCTTCTGCGCTGGTTGGTTTTGGTTCATGTATTAGTGCGATTCCAAATATACACACAAGAAAAGAGTACTTGTGCTACCTCTATCATTTTCTTCCACGTTAAGGAGAACAGGCACGTCTCTCTTCCTTTATGTATAAGCTGTGCATATTTGAGTTCTTATAGTTTGAAATCTTTGGGTTTCTCAAGTCCTTTGAGCATTGTCGTTCAACTAGTTTGATTCAAAGTAGTCTTAAAACTACCATATCTCCATCTTTTGACCCTGAATTTTAATCATCTGCAAATATGTAATCATTGGATAGCGTACATAATATGAGAACTTTTGTTATGATTCCATCTTTATTTTCTCTGGAAGTTTGCTGCAATCCTATTCTGAAAGGTGAAAATATGTGTTAACGTGTTCCTTGATTCTTTAAAAGTCTTTTCCTATGGTATTTCTGTTTCCTTACGTAACATACAAACTAATGTTAGTTCCTTGATGGGATTGGGATTGACACAGCTGTTTGACTTGCAGGTTGCACGTGGTCAGATCGAACTAGCAAAAAATGTAAGACAGAGGCTGACATCTCCCAATGTTGCTGCTCCACCATTGAGTACTGGTATCCTTCCAGTTGATGGCACAAGAGCAACTGAACCAACCCCGCCTTCACTGCAATTACCCAACATGCCTCCTTTGCCTCCACCTCCCAATCCTTTGACTTCTTTTGCAAATTCCAAAACTAATGAAGAGGAAAGCAAAAGGGCGGCAGCAGCTCTTGCTGCAAAACTTGCTGCTTCAACATCTTCTGCTCAAATGTTGACCTCTGTTCTTTCGTCTCTTGTTGCTGAAGAAGCTGCGTCACTGAGCAGTGGATTGAAATCAACTGGTTTCTCTTCTAGCTTACCTTTTGCATCTCCAGAGAAACGGCTCAAGTTAGACAAGCCAATGACTTTTTCTGATATGAACAGTTCCGAAGGGGGTAATTCCACTTACTTCACTTCATCACAGCAACCGATTACTAGCATTCCTCTTGCCCCTTCCTCAGGCTTACAATCGTCAAACCAGATACAAGCTCCGTTTCCACCACCTCCACCTCCACCACCACCTTTACCTCCAGCAAATTCCACTGGAAGTCAGTTAGGTCAGTCTGCAGCTATGATGATGGGGATGATGCCCTATGGATATAGTGCCGGCTGCCTTCAGCCACCTCAAATTGCAATGGGACTGAGGCCGCCTCCACCACTACCCCAGCAAGCACAACAGCAGCAACTGCAGACTCAGCAGCCACAATCTCAACAGCAGCCTGCCAATGGTGGATTTTATCGTCCACCTGGTATTGGATTCTATGGACAGACCCATCAGCAGACAACACCAGCAGCACCCAGGCAGTAAATCCCTTTGGAATAGGGAGCACATGTTACATTGTACATTAATAGTAAAAGTAGACTAGTTCTAGTTACTGTTTCCCTTCTCCTTCATACTTTTGTGCACCTGATATCCTCTGCAATCCCCAAGCCCTCCTTCGAACCTCCACCTCTGTTGCTTAACCAAAGTGCCCTTTGTGTTGAAGTATTGGGTGTTTTGCATCCATTAAAGCGTACCTGTAACCTAATGTCTAGGTGTCCGTATAATTAGTTGTAGATTGAAGGTCCATGTACTTAATATCTTCAGAACCTTGAGCAGAAAGAAACTAGTAGGTGAAATTTTAGCCTGTTTCTGCTGCTTGGACCTTTCTATTAGTACTTTTGAATGCTTAAAACTGTGTAATCATGCGATTTCACTTAAGTTCTATGATCTCTGTATGTCATGGATATCTCCTCCCAAATACGTCTGCTGGCCAAACCAAAACCGTATTAAATTAGCAAGTAAAGATGGTTGATGCTTGATATATCCACTATGATAATTTTGGTAACTTGGATGAGTTGCTTTGCATGCCGTTTGAAAGGTCCCTGGGACCTTAAAAAATCACCTCCTAAAGTTGGAACCCTCCTGTATAGTTGAAGAAAATGGATAACCAATGAATTGGGTTTAACTTTTATAAGTTTGGGAGATTAGGAGTTCTCTCTAGAGTGATCATATTCAAAAAGTGATACTATAAATATTCATATTATCAGCCGGTTAATTCTTTTTTTATCCGTATTAAATATGGGTCGGGTCGAATAATTTATCCGTTTTTGCATTACTCATTTTTGATCCGAACCATATCCGACCCGACTCTGTTTGCGACCCCTAGTCCTACTTTTGTTGGCCTACCATCCCATTAAAATTTAACCCAAAATTTCAGTATTTTTTCGCTCTCTAACATCTGCCTTTCAGCCTTTATGGTTAAGTTCCAAACTCCAGCTTGTAAAAGCGAAAAAGATTTGAAATGTACATTCTTGACTTAGCTTGATGTTAAGTTTAGTATGCATATATAGAAAGACTTTTACCACAAGATGGTTGTAGCATTAAAATGTTGCAATAGGTGCAGCACTCGAAATTCTGATGTGACATTGTCTTTATTACTAGACAATCTGAAACCCCAGGTACATAACCAACTCACATTGGAACAATATTTCATATACATTCCGCCACAGCAGTAACAGTTGATAGCATCTACTATTTCTATTTTAAGTGCATATATTCTAAGTACGCCTACATGTTACTGAAATACAAGTCAGCAGCAAAGAAGTAAGAAGAAGTGGGGTGAATAAGGACGAATCAAACAATCCCGATCTCTCAAACTTGCATTTGGTAATTTGCAGCAACAGCTCATCAACTACATGGATTCAAGACAGTCTCAAACTAACAATATTTCACACCAAAATGAACTGTACTTGTTCCCGTCTGATATAGAAAAGCTAATATTATTCACCAGTGGAATGATTTTCGAGATTGAAGGTAAATACAGGCTACAAGAGCTTGATACCGTAATGCGACTCACATCAATGAAAAGCCATAAACTGCAAAAGGTATATACTCCACCTCGAGTAGTCCTTTCTATAAATTAAGGTCTGTTTTTAAAGGATGTAAAGATGACATTGTCAAATATGTCAGTGAAGACTATAAAAACAATAATCTGCTAATCAAGAACTTCATAGATTTTGGGGCAAGATCACCTTGCAGTAACAGTGAATTCAACTACTGAGTAAGAAAGTGAAGCAACAGACAGTCTTAAACCAGAACCACCAGAAAACGAAGCAACAGATAGGCTTATACCAAAAACCACTAGAACCTAGAGCAGACACTTATAGTAAAGATTAACTGATATAAGCTCAAAATATTGGTTGTGTGAGCTCGCTATAAACCTCCAAACAAACACACTTAGCTTCCCTTTCCCCAAGCTAATTAATTCTCCTCAGCCACCCGCGTACATTTTCTTTAAACAGTTCAGCCAAATTGCCATCCACAAAGGGAAAAACATTTGCTTCCCGTCGACATGCAGATATTTCCAAAATGATTTTTAACTTCTAATAAATGGCATATTCTTGTAATATGAAGGAAGTACATATAAGACAAGTTTGGAACATATTAAGAAATAACATCAAAAACAGCTTCAAGGAAAACATGGGATGCTAAAGAATTTCAACGAGCAGAATGTTGAAATAGAATACATTTAAATTACATCATTTTTACACATGTGCTCCCCCCCCCCCCC